CCCCCCCCCCCCAGAATCCCAAGAACAGCATCTGATGTCTGCTCTCTAGAGGGCATTCAGTGCTTGTTAAATGTATAAATAAGTAAATGCTTCAATAAATGAATACTACTTGGCTGTTCTCAGTTTGCATATTTATGTACACTCCCAAACGTTAACAAAAGAGAGCACAAACACATTCAAATTCTTAGCTCTCATGTCTGAGTGACTAAATAAGGATGTCTTTAAGCCTAAGTGGCATGTTTCATTTATCCAACAATACAGTGCTCAGAGCCAGCTACTGGACTCTGAGTTTGGCTCCACTCTCTGCTACCTCCCTCCACCCCCCGCCTGTGTGGCCCTCACCAGGTATCTGTACCTTTTTGTGTTTCAATTACCTCATCTGAAAACTGGGGGCAATAACCACTATTTCAAGGGGTTGATTAGGATTAGGTCAGTGAATCTGGGTGAAGCACTTGGCAGAGAGCCTGGTACACTGTCAGTGTGCAGTGAGCGTGGCCTGCTCCCGTGCCTTGAGCTGTGTCCTGGGGAATGCTGCTGTTACAGGATGAGGGGCTTCTGCTCCATGGCTGCAAAGTCAAGTGAAGAGGCACAGCATTTCCATTCACGGCTAACAGCCAGGGCCACCTTGCCACAATTCTTGCCCCCAGCCCCTGGCAATCACCAGTTTGCTTTCTGTCTCTGGATTTACCTATTCTGGATATTTCATGTAAATGAAATCGTACACACGTGGCCTTTTACGTCAGGCTTCTTTCATTTAGCATAATGATTTTGAGGTTGATGGTTCCCTTTCAAATTCTTATATAAAGTAATTGAATCCTTCTTCCTGGAAACATGAAAAAAGTTCTTCTCTTTCCATCTAGTATTAAATATCAGGAGTCATTTTCCTTGTATTGTTTTCCCAACAGCTCTCTCAACTTCCACCATCCCAGAAGACATTAACCACCCAACCGTATCATCAGGTATGTCAATGAGCTGTCAAAGGAATGAAAACTGGATGTGATACGTTGTACGTGCCACTTCCAGCATTTTAAGCCCATAGGAAGGCTGATGTTCAGGGCCAGGGGACATTCACGACCAAGGGATGTACAGACAATGTGTGATGCCCAATGTCACCTTCAGCACCAGACCTTACGCTCTGTGAGACAAGGATTTCATCTGTCTTGCTCATTGCTGTATCCCTAGCACCCATCACGGTGCTTGGCACATTGTAAGCACCCAGTAAGTGTTTATTGAGTGGATAAACACATGCGCAGGTACTGCATGTGTGGACAGGCCATTTCCCCCTCTTGAGGCAGCTTTGGTCTTGCTGAGAACAATCCTGCAAGGCAGTGCATAGTGGAGGCAAGTCCCTCCACTCAAAGGACACAGGCATCACTCCAATAAACACCAGCAGCTTCTATTCGGACAAACATCCCTCCTTGGAGAGAAGTGCTAGTATTTCACATGGGAGCAAACTAGTGAAGCCAGAGCCTCCTAGCAAATATTTTTAGTTTTCAGTCTCAGCAGATAATGAAAAGTTAGCAACTATCTTATCAGGTAAGAGCAGTGGTTGCATCATTAGTCCTATATTATGCAGGTTACCATGCAGACAGGATGTACAGGCAGATGGATCACTAGGTTGTATTATGTTGTCTGTGGGGTCATCTAAGATAAACCACATCCTTATGAGTACAGTGAGTTTTACAACCTTCTCCCAATTCTTCAATGATTTATTTTACTACTGCTGAGCATCGTCATGCAGAAGATGGAGTTGATGCAGGATTGAAAGGGGGAAAGGCATTTGGGGCATCAGGATCACATCTAGGAGCTCTCTCAGCAACCTCAACTTGATTCCATCCTCATCAGAAATCAGGCAGAATTCTGAGCACGTGGACAGTCCAGATGTTTTGGTTAAGGTGTGGCATAGCTGGTGGCTTTTTGCCATCTCCTAGTTGAGTCCTTTTCTGATGTGTCCTGTGTCTGTCTCACGAAGGGAAGCTTCAGTCCTAATCGCAATTTCTACATTGTTTTAGTTCTACCAGTGGCCGACTCAGCATCTGCCAGTCGCAGAGCCAGTGTGCCCAGGCTCAGGCTGCCAAGTAAGCAGCCTTCCCCACAGGACATGCCGTGACTGTCATGAGCCACAATTGGAAAGGAGCCTGGGGGAGCAGCACAGCTGGAGGCTGCTGAGGTGCAAGGGAAAAGTACCTTTTGAGAGAAGGCCCACCGGCCTCCAGGACTGGCCCATAGCTTGGCTGCCCAGACGGCCTAGCATCAGCTCACCCTCACTTTCCAGCTATTCCAGAGACACATTTTCAAGTTCAGAAAACATGTAGAATAAGAAAGCAAATAACCATGTGTCCCTTACCTAGACATGACCAATGCTTTCATTTCGTCATGATGGTTTTCCAGTCTTCTCAAGAAATAAAGCACAGTCCGATTCAGAGCTCCCAGTATTCCCCAGTCTCAGTCTCCTTTCTCCTTCCTCATAGACAAACACTTTCTTGAATTTCGTGCATATCCTTAGTTTACTTTTTATATTTTTACATACATGCGTTATATGATTCTATTTTATTTTGTGTGTTTTCTTTTGAATTGTATTAGTCTCTATATAATTTGATAGTTTTTCTCTTTAATCAATGTGTCATTTTTGAGATCAATCTATGTTTTTTGTGTGTGTGTTTCACTGCTCTTAACTGCTGCAGAGTATCCTGTTTTCTGAATATACCATTTAACTTAATCCATTTCCCCATGGGTAAAAATTTTTTCCTAAATTTTTGTGTCTACCCTGCTGATGTCAAGTTCTAAAGCACCAAGGCATGAGAAATAACTGTTCTACAATCTAATTGCTTTGTTCAGTGACTAAAAAAGAGCACATAATCGTGCTGTGATATAATTATCAAGCACTTTTTTCCAAGAATTACCCCCCTTCATGGGCTGTAATTGAGGGACTCACCTTAATTTGAAAGCCAGGCAAACAGAGCGAGTTTAACAGGTATGTTTCAAGACTTACCCTTATTTTTGTTTCCGCAGAAGACTGGCCTGCGCTGCGGCTGGTGAATGGCACGGGACGATGCTCCGGCCGGGTGGAGGTGTCCTACCAGGGCACCTGGGGGTCCGTGTGTGATGACGGCTGGGGCCTGAAGGAGGCACACGTGGTGTGCAGGCAGCTTGGGTGTGGCCCAGCGGTATCGGCCCCCCTCGGCTCCCACTTCGGCCCAGGCTTTGGAAAGATTGTCCTGGACAACGTGCGCTGCAGTGGTGAGGAGAGTCGCCTGGCCCTGTGCGCCCACGACAGCTGGTTCACCCACAACTGCAATCACGAGGAGGATGCTGGAGCCATCTGCTTGGGTGAGGGGGTCTTCTGTGTTGTAGATGGTTCTTGGGCAGCATGGATTAGGGGCCTCATCCTGTGAGGGCTGATGTCTTTCTCTCTCCATACCGACAGGTTCTCTAACGGCAGACCCCTCCCCTCCAGGTAAGACTGATTGGGGCTGTTTCTATGTCCCATTCCACTTACTTTGAGTTCTGTCCCACTAATATTTATTCTGTGTGATGGAAAAGGAATGAAAACGAACCTGTAAAATCAAACTTTAAGAAGTTTACAGAGGCTGTTTCGAATGCTCCGTAATTGTTTGAAGCCTAGAAGGTTTTCCCCAAGTGCAGGAATCTTCCCAAATCAGAACTAAGTTACCGGGCAGCTGCAGGCAAGGCAGGACTCTTCTGTGGCCAACAAAGGACTGCAATTAATAGTCCTTAACTTCAGGGTGTGGTCTCCTGTGACTGTGCCCATCAGTCATCACAACGTACTTATTTGAGAGAAAATTGCCATTCACTTTCTGGAGCGATTAGATCAGAATATCATCCCTCGAGTCTGTAAAGTCTGATTCTAACAGGAAAAGTAACGACATCAATTGAAACTTTTGCACTTATATGATTTCAGAGTATTCTGCCTCTAAGTAATACCATGGAGCCATTTCACTCACTTCTTTTTATTATAAAGCAATGGTTTTCATACTTTACCATGCATCAGAAACATCTGGAGGGCTTATTAGAGCACAGTCGCTGCCCCTCCACCTGAGTTTCTGGTTCAGCAGGTGTCAGGGGGCCTGAGAATATGCATTTCAAACAAGTCTAGGATGCTTATGCTGCTGGTCTGGGGACCACACTTTGAGAACCACTGTCTTCAGACATAACAGAGAAGGAACATTTCTTATCCTAATAAATAGAAGCAGAATCATCCTTGTCTTTGTCATTGTTGTCATCATCTTCAATGTCATTGTCATCATAGTCAATGCCATCATTATCAGCACCATCATTACCAGCACCACCATCATCACCGTTACCAGCAAAAACTAGTCTATCTAGTAAGTTGAGTCACCTCTCTGGTTGTTTTTAGTTTATGTGTTTTTATGGTTATGCATATACAGAGCTAAACATCCAAACAAGAATATTAAGTAAATTATTAAGATATCTGCAAACTTCTCTATTACTCCAATAGGCAGGTCTCTGTGGATAAATCAATTTTCCATTTATAGCTGGGAGCCTGGGGTTGCATGCACGGCCTCCTCTGCACCTGATGGCCACCGTCCTGATCCAAGCCCTCATTGTCTCTTCCTGCCTGGATGAGCATCTGACTCCCTGCCTGTGGGCCCCCAACGCTCTAGTCCATTATTTACATGCAGTCAGAATTACCTTTTCTTTTTAAAGGCTTATTGAATTATAATTTACCTGTAGTAAAAACCACCTGGTAGTTCAAAGAATTTTGATAAATGGTTACAGTTGTGTTACTATTGCTACCATCAAGATATAGAACATTTCCATTACGTTATAATGTCCCTTATGCCACTTGTACTTAAACCCCTCTCCTGACCCTTAGATCCTGGCAACCACTGAAATAATTTCTCTCCCTATACGTTTGCCTTTTCCAGGATGTCATATAATGTAATCACACAATATGTAGCATTTTGTCTTGAGATTCTTCACTTAGCAAATGCCTTTGAGATCCATCCATGTATTTCCATGTATCAGATATTCAGATAAAAAAATTATTGCTAAATAGTATTTCACTGTATGGATGTACCAAACATTGTTTATCTGTTTGGCACTTGATGGGCATTTAGCTTGCTTCTAATTTTTACCATTATGAATAAAACTACTATAAATATTCATGTATAAATTGTAAACTATTTTCCAAAGTGGCAGTACCATTTTTCGTTCTTACTAGTAATTTATGAGAGTTACAGTTTTTCTGCTTCCTTTTCAACACTTTGGATTGTCTATTTTTTTAAGTTTAGACATTATGGTGTCTCTACTATAATGAGATTGTAACACCTCTTTGTGGTTTTTATTTGCATTTCCCTAGTGACTAATGATGCTGAGCACTTTTTCATATGCTTATCTGCATCTCTTTGGTAAAATGTCTTTTCAGTCTTTTATCCTTTTTTATTTATTTATTTTTCCCAAGTAGGTTGTTTGTCTTATCACTGTGTTGAAAGATAATTATTTATATATAAGTATTTTGGATACAAGTACTTTATCAAATTTGTGTTTTGCAAGTATTTTTTCCCAGTTTGTGGCTTGTCTTTTCATTTTCAGTTTCTTAACTGTGTTTTTTGAAGAGTGAAGTTTTAAATTTTAATGAAGTCCAATTTACCAAGTTTTTTTTAATGGAATGTGCTTTTGTGTTTTATCTAAGAAAAACTTTGCTTAACCAAAGGTCTCACAGATTTTCTCCTATTTTTTTTTCTAGAAGTTTTATAGCTCTATGATCCATTGTAGTTAATTTTTGTGTATGGTTTAAGGTATGGTTCAAGGGTCTTTTTTCATGTAGATATCTAACATTCCAACACCTTCTGTTAGAAAGACTCTCTCTCCTATCGGTACTGAAATACCTTGACATTTTGCTAAAAATTAAATAACCATATATGCATGGGTCTATTTCTGAACTTCCCCTTTTCCTGCACTGGTTTATATAACTGTTCCTATGCCCATGTTACACCATCTTGATTACTGTAGCTTTAAATCAGTGCTGAAATCAGTTAATGGGAGTTCTTCAACTTTGCTCTTTTTTCTTTTTCTTTTCAAAATTGTTTGGATAACCTAGGTTTTTTCCCTTTTGCATAATTTTTTTTACAGCTTTATTGTGGTATAATTGACAAAAAAATTGTATATATTTAAGGTGTGCAACATGGTGCTTTGATATAAGTATATCTTGTGTAACAATTCCCACAAAAAAATCAACTTATCAATTTCTGCAAAAATGCTCCCTAGGATTTTAATTTGGATTGTGTAGAATCTATAAATTAATTTGAGGAAAACTGACATCTTAAAAACATTGAGTTTTCTGATCCATTAACACAGTATATCTCTTCATTTACTTAGGTCTTTATTTCATTAATATTCTGCAGTTTCCTGCGTACAAACTTTGCATACATTTATTAGACTTAAACATAGAATTTCACGGTTTTGGGGGCCGGCCCGGTGGCGCACTGGATAAGTGCGCCGCTTGGGAAGCGCAGCGGCGCTCCCGCTCGAGGGTTCGGATCCCACATGCAGACCGGTTCCCACTCACTGGCTGAGCGAGGCGTGGGAGCAGCACCGAGGGTTGCGGTCCCGTTGCCGGTCCCCGGTCTGGTACGGGGGCAACACTGAGGGTTGCGATCCATTGCCGGACACGGAAAAAGACAAAAGACAAAAAAAAAAAAAAAAGAATTTCACGGTTTTGGATGCTATCGTAAAAGGCATTTAGAAAATTTTTAACTCCAATATCTAATTTCTGTTGCAAGTAAATTATGTTTTTCTGAAATAATGAAGTATGTTTTGAACTGGGAATATTATGATAATTTTTGTTATTTTACTCTTTTCTTTTTGGTTTATAAACCTCTTTTCTATCCATTATCAGATTCCCAGTTTTACAGGTCAGGGACTGAAGTTTATCTGTAATATGCGGTGGAATGAGAACTAGATCTCAGGTTAGAACAATCATGTCTTTAGTCTGGAAACTCATTAAGACCTTTAGAACTGGTTTTTTACATTGCATTTCACAAAGAAACACTAGAAATTGGTTTTGAGTGCCAGATAGCTTTACTCAGCTTTAATTTTGTCTCTTTGCAGGAGAAGAGGAGGGTGGGGGTGTTATTCATCACTAATTCGTGTTTTCTTTTCACTGTAGCTGCTGAAATAACAATTGACTCTATCACCTCTGTGGAAGAGCACACACCAATAGGTACATAAAAGTGCATATTTTTGAGTTTACGTTGAATCTTTATTATCTATGTATCTACTGACGTACATAAGAGACTTCCCATTTCTAACATTAAGAATAAAAATGGAAATTTAGTAACAAATATTGCTAGGCATCCCCATCCCCACCAGGATCCTTGAGATAGTGAAATAAAGATATTTCTGAGAGTATGCTCCTAGAATCACTAATTCAACAGATGTCAAGAAGGATTGCACACACCCCTGCATGCATGTGCACACACACAAGTTTCATGGTCCCATGAGGTTAGGGAGCACTGCATTAAACAAACTAATTTCTTTACTGTAGGACATCTAGGAGCCTTTAATATACACAGGTACTTCAAAAAGTTGGTAGAAAAACAGAGGTAAAACACGGTATGAATATTTCCACGAACTTTTTGAAGTACCCTTGTATGCTCGATCCCACAAAATCCCTACTAGAAGTCCCAGGATGCCATGCTTATGAAATGCACTTGACCCAAATCTTTTTTTTTTTCTTCATATCTCGTCTCTTAGAAAGTTTTCTGCATAATGTGAGTAAAGTGCTGAAATCCAGGTATTTGGGATTAATGCATATGCTACCAAGATATTCCAGTCAAATTAAAACACATATTGTCACATCTCCCTGCCTATCTGAAGTCGAGGCTGCTGTCCTTTCTTACCAGCACGGCCCGAAAGGAGCTCACTCCTCTTTTCCCTTTCCCCTGTTGAAGTCCTGCCATGGCTTCACGGCTCCATTTCTCCAGGCAGCTTCCCCTGGTCTGCACGAGGAGATGTTTCGTCTACATTTGCACCCTTTCTGTTGACATGTCTCACAATCCACCTCACATGAGAGTTGCTTGTATTCTTCCTCAAGCTTCTGGCTGAATTACAGCCTTTTAAATGCAGGCCCTCTGGCTCCCTTTCTTTGCATTCAATAATTATTTCTGAACAAATAATGGCACACAGCATTATTAATTCGTAGAGACGGCTTTTATTTCCTTTAGGTTTCCTTAGGTGTGATGTCTTTGAGTTTGGCTTCTATTTTTAAGAGATTTCTTTCTACTGAACAAAACATTCAAGGATAAGTTTACCATAAACATAAAATAGATGAATGAAAAGTTAAATCATCTTTTCTGATGGTGATGACGGTGACTTACCTAGATGAATCAAAAGAAAAGAAAACAAAAAGTTTCAGAAGGATATTAGATCTTAGGACGGTCCTCCCTGCAGTGTGTTTGCTTTCTTCCTTCCGCCCCACTCACTGACAGTGACCACACTGGTTGTTCCTCTTAGCTGAAGTCTTCTCAGAACCTTCATGGATGACAGTCCCTGTGGCCTTGACTCCCCCCCTGCAGGTATGAGGAGTAGTTCCTGAGAAGTTAAGAGCTGATGGACAGCACCGAGAGACGTGTTCTCCCAGCCGGGAGACACCACAGGCAGAGTTAGAGTGAGAGGCAGCCCCCTTTCAAGCTCTGTGGGATTAAGGGCAATTTTATTAACCCTTTTGAGTCTCAATTTCTTCATCTGTAATGTAGGAAGCCCAATCCCCTTTGCAAAGATGAAGAGAGAAACTTTTATTTTTATTTATTTCTTTTTTCTTTTCTTTTTTTTTTCCTTTTTTGTCTTTTTTCGTGACCGGCAACGGATCACAACCCTCAGTGTCGTGCCCGTACCGGACCGGGACCGGCAACGGGATCGCAACCCTCGGTGTTGCACCCACACCTCGCTCAGCCAGTGAGCAGGAACCGGTCTGTATGTGGGATCCGAACCCTCGGCGGGAGCGCTGCCGCGCTCCCAAGTGGCGCACTGCCGGGCTGGCCCTATTTATTTTTTCTTAATTTTATTTTGTCAATATACAATGAGGTTGATTATTGTGGCCCATTACCGAAACCTCCCTCCCAACAATGTCCTTTCTGTTTGCTTGTCGTATCAACTTCAAGGAATTGTAGTTATTATGTCTTCTTCCCCTCCCCCCCGGTTTTGTGTGTGTGTGTGTGTGTGTGTGTGTGTGTGTGAATTTATTTACTCACTTTTAGCTCTCACCAATAAGTGAGAACATGTGGTATTTCTCTTTCTGTGCCTGACTCGTTTCACTCAATATTATTCTCTCAAGGTCCATCCATGTTGTTGCAAATGGCAGTATTTCATTCTTTTTTATAGCATAGTAGTATTCCATTGTGTAGATATACCACATTTTCCGTATCCACTCATCTGATGATGGACATTTGGGCTGGTTCCAGCTCTTGGCTATTGTAAAGAGTGCTGCAATGAACATTGGGGAACAGGTATACCTTCGACTTGATGATTTCCATTCCTCTGGGTATATTCCCAGCAGTGGGATAGCTGGGTCATATGGCAGATCTATCTGCAATTGTTTGAGGAACCTCCATACCATTTTCCATAGAGGCTGCACCATTTTGCATGAGCGTCTCTTGGGGTCTCTAGCACTTAACTCACAAATTACAAAGAACTCCTTCCCCAGTCTCCTTTTCATGGTGAAGCCATGAGGAAACATTATGAGACCAATGAGGCAGAGTTGCACTAAGACTAATGTAGTTCTGGACGGCAAAGTGTCTGTGTAGCTGTGATGTGCCTGCGGATAGTCTAGTTTACTGTTTTTTTAGATATTTTGACAGCTCGTATTTCTATCTCTGTCCATGACAGGTGAACAACATATGGAGAAAATGATCTTGTTAGGAGAACGTTAGGAGCTCTGGAAATTTCTTAAAAAGAGTTTCACCTTCTGGATTGCAGGATATAGCAAAGCCCCAGTATTATTTGAGATTGAAGATTATTCTAGCTATTCTTAACGTGTGGGTGCATGAGGACTGCGTGATCTTACATGTTCGTAAAATGAGGATATGACCACCTAGGGGTATAAAAGTATGAAGAAAACCTTCCAGAGACTGGAGGGCCAGTCCCTCAGTGTCCCTCTTCTTTGTGACTCCCCAGGGGCCTGGGTGGAGGTGAGGCTGCTGAATGGCACGGGGAGGTGCTCAGGCCGCGTGGAGGTGCTCGTCCAGGGCACCTGGGGGACTGTGTGTGATGACCCCTGGGACCTGGCCGAGGCTGCCATTGTGTGCCACCAGCTGCAGTGTGGCCAGGCAGTGGCAGCCCCCACAGGGGCTCACTTTGAGGCAGGCTCCGGGAAGATCCTGATGGATGACATACAGTGTACGGGTAGCGAGAGTCACCTAGGGCAGTGTGTGCACGGGGGCCAGGCCAGGCACAACTGTGGGCACATGGAGGATGCTGGCGTCATCTGCACAGGTGAGGAGCTGTCACCTCCCAAGATGTCACTGCTTTTGTGTCTTTTCGAACAGATTCAACCAGCTTTTTCAGAAGTCACTGAGCAATATATTATAATAAACCCTGCATGGCAAGGCTTATTATGAGGCTTGTTATTATGTAAGCCTTCTAATAAGCCATATTGATATTTTTCAACCCTCAGGCTTTGATGACCCATCAGCCTCCACCCCAGAGTCTGAAGATGCTTCCTCGGTGTACACACTCGCAGGTAGGTCACCTTGTATTTACCCTCTAGAAGATACTTTCTCTCTATTCTGTAGTAGAGATACTTAAGGGACAGCAGAGTTGCCCAGTCTGTCATTACTGTGCAAGGACTATTGATAAGAATAATAAAGGACAAGAGATTTTTCAAAATGGGATTTTTATTCCATCATCTGATATTCTTGAAGAATTCCTTTCTCTGTCAGCCAGTAGTTATTGCTGGGAAATTCACATTATATCCTACTAATTCATGAGACCAATCCATTGTTACTGAGTCATTTAATTTAAAAAGAGTTCAAAGAGGTTAAAAGATCTGCCTATCGATATGCAAATCAATAGGCCTAACATCATCATTATAAAATAGACATTTACTTTCATATCCCTGAAAATAAAGTGCAGAAGGAGTTAATTAACGTTATGAAGAAGGAGCCAATGCCCCGGCAGGTCCATATGCCTATCACAGGGGAGCTATTTGAGGACAGCTCCCTGACATGGATGCTCCTAGAGCCCAGAGACTGGAGAAGCACACAGCGTGGACATGGATCCTTTACACCTGACCCGTGCCGAGATTCCATCCAGCAGCTGCAGCATGGGTACATCGGTACTGAAGGTTAAGGCCAGCTCTATTTGGCATCGTGTCAACAACTAAAAAATGAAACCACAAATCAGTTCGACCCTCTGAAAAACCAGTCTGTGGAATTAATTGCTACGTAACATTTTAAGCGCTAATTTGATCCAAATGACCCCAAAATGATATGGCAGTAAGATTGTTTGGATTGATGCAAAATGAGGCACAGGAGCTGCTCAACGGTGCTATGTACGTCTCACACTGCTTAGATAACATGTAGTATAGCTATATCTGCCAAACGCCAAACGCCCAGGGACAGCCTGAGAAGTCCAGTCACGTATGTCAACGTCATGTCTGCACGATTCCACCTGGCTGTTTCCCAAAAGGGAACGAAGACAGATGGCATCAGAGCGATCCCAAAATGGACTTGTGGGCACTCAGGGAAGGACAGTGTACTTCTAAAATGAACCCCCTTTTAGAGACTGAATAACAAAGCTCAAAAAACAGGGGGAAGAGAAGTGTGCCCTGCCTAAAACGTTGTGTGGTGGGGAAACCCTTGGAAGACTTGATGTCGGTTTTGAGTCTGGCTATTCCAAATGTTCTCGTTGCAAACATTTTCTTTTCCTACATGGGGATAGGAGGCTCCTGGTCACAAGTGATGTCCCTGTTTGTACCTGTTTTCAGGTGACGGACTATCAGCTCCCATACCCACAACAGGCCTTCACTCCACACCTGTGCTGGCAGGTAACACTTCCCTGTGGTGGCTGGTGTCATGCATAGTGTTTTCTGAGCATCTCCTACGTGCCATGCACGGAATTGAGTGCTTAGTGCTTTCCCAATTTGTTACTCCACAAGGACCAGGAAGGAAGGTTTTATTTCCATCACTTCAGGAATGAATAATCAGAGGCTCAGACCAGACAGGTGAACAGAGATGACACTGGTCAAATGACTAGAGTCACACAACCAGTGTGTGGTGAAGGCTGCATTCACCAGACCTGTCCGGTGAGAGGATCACTGGCTTCACTGTGCTTTTCCTGATCATGTGGCTCAAAGCTACTGCAGGGGTATTGGAGAAGCAAAGTATGAGCAATTGCTCATGTCAAAGCTATTTGAGGAAATTATATGGAAATGTTAAATATTAAGTTAATATTAGGCTGTCTACTACAGATAATTTATTTCAAGAAAATATATGAAAGATACAACGTTCACTATTAATTTGGATTTTTCACTTGTCTCCTGCTTCCTCTGGGCAAACTTGACCTCTTAACTGTACCTGGGTCTTCTCATTAGCACATAAGCTCTTCGAATAGCCATTATTGGAATGTTTCTTCCCAAATTTTCTAGCCCAATCTTTACAACGTTGTCTGGGTGCTGGAGAATGGCGTTTCTATTTTATAGTTGAGGAAACTGAGGTTCAGTTTAAATAAAAGGGGGAGTCAGGACCAAGCTTTGGGTTGGAGAAATCCCATCTTCACCCTGGGAGCTCAATTGTCCCTCTGGCATGGGATCCCTAAGTCACATACCCAAATCAAGGCTGGGAATCCATTTGGACAAATAAACATCATTTTTTCATAGTTAGTTGGGGGTAGTTTCCGTTTGAAGTAGCTTTTAATGACCAGTGGGGGTTGGTTTCTTCTCTTTGCCTCCAGCTGCTGAACTAACACGTCCATAAGCCATCTCTTCTGTATGGACATTACCCGGTCATCAGCAAACAATTCCTTTAAAAATTCCTTTGGGATGTCCACCTCCAGCTCTGGTGGATTAGCTTATAGAAGACAGTCCTTCCAGTGAGAGCAAATTGAAAAGCCAAATAAAATAAAGAAAGCTGCAAAGGTTATTCTTTTACTGTATGTGACCAAGAGCCAGAATTTCTGAAAAATTGAGCTATTATCACTTGGCAATATACCCCAAATTGGCCTAACCTCAGAGGACTAGGTTCCCAGTGTCCCTCCTTTTTGTGACTCCCCAGGGGCCTGGGTGGAGGTGAGGCTGCTGAATGGCACGGGGAGGTGCTCGGGCCGCGTGGAGGTGCTCGTCCAGGGCACCTGGGGGACCGTGTGCGATGACCTCTGGGGCCTGGCCGAGGCTGCTGTTGTGTGCCGCCAGCTGCAGTGTGGCCAGGCGGTGGCGGCCCCCACAGGGGCCCACTTCGGGACAGGCTTTGGGAAGATCTTGCTGGATGACGTGCAGTGTGTGGGCAGCGAGAGCCACCTGGGGCAGTGTGTGCACGGGGGCCAGGCTGGGCACAACTGCGGGCACCTGGAGGACGCCAGCGTCATCTGTGCAGGTGAGAGGCTGTGAGTTCCCAGAACTTCACCACTGTCACAGCCAGCTGGCACCAACAGAGGCCACGGTATAATACGTTACAAATCACCTCACAGACCTTGATCTCTTGAGCAGGTGCTGACGGTTCTCCGGCTCCCACCCCCACCACAGAGCCTGACGCTGCTTCTCCAGCAGACAAGCTCCCAGGTGGGTCCAACCTCTGGGTGGTTTGCTTTGGGTAAGATTTCTCTTCTAAAAGGCATTTTTCTCTTCTAAAAGTCATGGTAGAGCTCCTGCAGGGCTGGAAGAGTAAATATTCATCTCACAGCAAAGGGATATCTCCATAACAAGCCTGGAGATAAGAATAATCAGGGATGGAGATGTTTTGGCAATGGAATATTTATTGCAGCAAATTAATTCCATTAAAGTTTCTCAATCTTTGTATTGCTTTGTGTGTGTGTGTGTGTGTGTGTGTGTGTGTGTGTGTGTGTGTGTGTGTGTGAAGATTTGTTAGAAAATATCAGTTGTCTCCAAACAATTCCTGAGCTCTAATCAAATTCATGAAACTCTGGCATTGTCTGCACGGGTTGGAAGCTATTACCTCCCCTGGAAGCCACTGCTTTTATGTCTTTTCAGAAATGCTCAACTCAAACTCTTGGAAGTCATTGAGTATGATATTGTAAACAGCACTGTAGACTTTAGCATGTTGATTTTTTCTGACTATCAGGTGCTGACCATTCACCAAGCCCCACTTCAACCACAGAGCCTGAAGCTGCCTCCCCATCATTCACACCATCGGGTTGGTTCAATTTTTGTTTGGTTCTTTTGCATTGTGGCTTTTCCTCTATAGAATGTTTCCTTCATACGCCAAGGCAGCAGGGCCTTTGCACTGCACAACTTCTAGTGTTGTATACTCCTAGGAAGCACAGTGCACCGTATCCTCATGTGGGTGGTCACATGTCATATGCAAATGGTGGTCCCTGGAGTCATGCAGCCTGGTGGTCCTGTGTGGCCAAGTCACTCCAGGGGTAGAAGAGCTAACAGATGTTCGACATCACACAGGGGGCACAGAGCAGAGGGGAGACAAGTTTCTCATTCCATCACCTAGACTTCTTAAATAATTCCTGAACTTGTCTAAACAATGCCCGTACATTAGGAACGTTTGGTTGTCTCTAAATGGTTCAGGAGCTCTTTAAGTTGAAATAAAATCAGTGATACTTACGGTCTTCAAAACAGGTTTTAAAAACTGCTTATAAATTCACAAATTCATCATTATGCTGTATGCTCTTAATTTCAAGAATCTGAAAAATGCAGAAACAATCCAATAAGTAATTGGAAGAGGATGCGGGAAACATATAAGAACAAACAATTCCTCCCTCTGTAGGTATTTGATAGGAGAGCAGTGAAGCCCATTCCCTCTACTATATGATAACACAGACACATAATAGGTGGTGGCTGGTGAAATTCCTGTTGACAGGGACGACACCCTCACAGTGCCCCTTTCTTCACCTGACTGGAACTGTCACCTGCTTCACTGTCAAAAAAAACCAAAACAAAACAAAAAGAAACTCTGCACATTCCTGACATATTAAGACTGATTCCACATTGTACCATGTGGCCAATTGAAAAAAATTAATTAATGATTATTTCTTTTTCTACTCCAACCCACTTTAAACAACCAGTTTGATGGTTTAACCATTTTTGAATAATCTAGTCCCAAATTATTTAAATTGATCACAGTAATGAAGTAGCTATTCATTTTTTTAAATTTACATACATGTATAAAATAATATATTATGGAAAGTATCAAGTTCACTGACAAATGTTGAGAATAGTGTAATGAACTCCCGAGTATCCACTATTGAGTTTTATCAAATCCTAATATTTTTCCCTAGTTATTTGATAGCCTCTTAAAAAGAAACAATACAATACATGATTGCTGTTTTAGAAGTTAATAAGATGAAAATGGGGCTGTCTTCATGCCTGTGGGAGCCTCACATGGCTTAGGCCTCCCAGAGCCCAGATACAGCCACCAAAAATCTAGATGGAAACCAAAACATTCAGCCATTTCAGTGAGTTTTTCCTAAAAGAAAAAAAGGACCCTGAAGCAGGCAAGAAACAGAGCATACCCAGGATCCTAGGCAGGAGCCAAGGGCCACCCCCACCACCCAGACACAGTCAAGGAGCATGCCGAAATCACCACTTCTGCATGGGTGGTCCACCACAGCCACTGCCATAGCCACATCTGCCACAAAAGCAACTTGACACCACAGCAGTAGCCACGGCCACCATGCAGGTGTCCTGCTAGACACTTGACTGCATTGACAGAAGGAGTGTCACCAGCAGAGACCAGGAAAAGAAGAAGAGATGTCTTTCTCCTCAAAGCCCACTCCAGAGTAACAGAAGAAGCATCTGCTCTACCAGATGACCAGACATTAACATAGAGATACTAGAAATATAAAATCTTAAGAAAATATGACACTACTAAAAGAATACAGTAATTCTCAAATACCAGACCCTATAGAGCAGGAAACCCTTAAAATGACTGAAAAGGAATTCTAGGCAACAGTCTCAAGGAAACTTACTGAGATAAAGAAGACTCAGTTCAACAACATAATGAAAAGAGAAAGAAATCCAGGATCTGAAGAAGGAAATCTACAAAGAGATTAATACCTTAAAAAAGAATGTAGTGGAACTCATGGAACTGAAAGATTCACTCAATGAAATAAAAAATACAACTGAGAGCTTAAGCAGCAGGCTAGAACAAGCAGAAGAAAGAACTCCTGATCTTGAAGATAGTCTTTTAGAAATAACCCAGGCAGACAAAAGAAAAAAAGGAAAAAAGAATTTTTAAAAATGAAGAAAATCTAAGAGAGTTAGCAGACAGCCTTAAGGCACAAACATTCGAATGCTGGGTATTCCAGAAGGGGAGGAGTAAGGAGAAGGCATGAAAAACCTATAAAACAGAATAATAACAGAAAACTTCCTAGGTATAGGGAGAGACACAGACCTTCAGATCCAGGAGGCTCAAAGATCTCCAAACACATTCAACTGAAAAAGATCCTCTCCAAGACACATGATAGTCAAACTGGCAAAGCTCAAAGACAAAGAGAGAATCTTACAAGAAGCAAGAGAAAAGCATCAGGTCACCTACAAGGGAGCCCCTATCTGACTAACAGCAGACTTTTCAACAGAAACTGTATAGGCCAGAAGAAAATGGGATGATATGTTCAAAATACTAAAAGAAAAAAATCCCTGCCAGCCAAGAACACTATACCCAGTAAGCCTATCCTTCAGAAATGAGGGAAAAACAGCATATTTCCTAGACAGACAAAAACTGGGAGTTCACCACCCACAAAACCAGTGCTGCGAGAAATCCTCAGGGGACTCCTGCATCTGGAATCTGAAAATTGATAATCGGTGTGATGACTACACAAGAAAGAACAAAACCCACTGGTAGAACAAAAATGCAAACGAGAAAGGGAAAGAAATCAAAGCTTGCCATCATGAAACACCAGAATGACAATGTAACAATGCCCCTGCTTTATTTCTGATTTTAGTAATTTCAGTCTTTCCTCTTTTTCTTCTTGGTCAATCTAGATAAAGGTTTGCAAATTTTGTTGATTTTATTTAAAGAATCAACCTTTGGTTTTGTTGATTTTCTCTACTATTTTTTAATTCCCTATTCCATATATTTCTGTTGTAATCTTTTTTATTTCCTACTTATATTTGCTTTTGGTTTAGTTTGCTCTTCTTTTTCTATTTTCTTAAGGTAGACGTTAACATTACCCATCTGAGGTTTTTCTTATCTTTCATATAGGTGTTTACAAGTATAAATTTTCCTCTCAGCAGTGGATGAGCCCTGCATCCTATAAACTTTGATATGTTGTGCTTTGATTTTTACATCAAAGTACTCTCTAATTTCTCTGCGATTTTTCTTTTTACCCATTGTTTATTCAGGGGAGTTGTTTAATTTCCACACGTTTGTGAATTTTCTAATTTTCCATCAGTTACTGTGGTCAGAGAACATATTTTTCTATGACCTCAGTTTTGTTAAACGTATTAAGACTTGTTTTATGGCAAAAAATATATATAAATAGATAAAAATAAACAAATAAATAAACAAATGCAATTTAAAAGGAAAAAAGGAAACAATCCACAAATGGAGACCTGGAGTTTACTTACTAAGGGTATATCCTTGAAGTTCTAGCACTTTCCATCCCACGGTGGAGTCTGATATCTAGTACTGGATGTAACTGTAGCAGGAAAGGAGAAGGGAGAGTAGACCAAAGCCCCAACAGGGCGGATTTGGGCCCAGCCAGTTCCTCTGGGCTCGTGGTCAGAAGTTTCCTCTCCCACGTGGGGAGGCGGCATCTAGCAGTGACCAGGCTTGTCTTTGTTCTGCACTCACAGGTCAAGCCCTGTCAGCAACCGCGCCCACCACGGAGCCTGCGAAGCTCTCTCCAGCTCCCACTCCAACAGGTCAGTTGGCATGTGTTCTATGGGGAGTAGGAAAAGGAAGCCACGTGACAGACACTGGGCTGGCACCTTCTCAGACCTGAAGCCACACGGAGTGGTGACCATATCCCTACAAGAACTCCTTGCCTCTGAAGGAGATGAGTCAGGAATGACATTGCATATTTGACTATGACCTTCAGGTTGCATCTGTTTTCAAACTTTTATCTTTCTAAAGTTGGGTTTAAAGGATGTCCTAACTATTAGGAGTGTCTCTGTTTGTCCCCGCTGTTTGTCCCAGGTGGTGGATTATCTGCAACCATCGCCACAACAGAGCCTGCAGCCCTGCAGTCCACACACACTCCCCCGGCGGGTAAGTCCTTGGGGAAATGGGAAAGGAGCTAACATTGATGGGACAACCAAAATGTGATAAGCAGAGGATCAGATGCTTTCACAGAACTGACACTTCATTTAATGTTCACAACAGCCTACAAGTGCTATCCTTCCCCCACCTATGGTTTCATCCAATCGGACACAGAAAAGATAATTTTCCTAGCATCACCCAACTAGAACATGGTGAAGCCAAGATTTGGGCACAAATATGTCTGACTCCACACCCATGTGACTGGTTAGCCAGCCACCTTTTGGATGGTGAGACGGTATTGTCCAAAGCTACCTTTGGACTATAGGGAAGAGAACATTCTTGCAGGCCTGATTGCTAAGGTCCAGGTATATCAAGACTATAACCAAGAAATCGAGGAGTCGGCTGTGAGTTGTCACCTACTCTACAGTTTTTAACATAAAATTCCCAATGGACAAAACATTTAAAATTATACTTTCAAACACTGCAACAGTTAGGTAAAATGTATCCCTTTGGTTCACTAGGGCTCTATCCAATGTGAGCCCAAATCCCAGCTTCCTCCTTCCTCCCCCTGGGAGAGTGGCTTGTACATCTTCTTTGCAGACAAAAACTCATTGTACCACTTTAGCACTTTAAGTCTGGTCTTACAGTAACTCACATTAGTAGAAACTCCATTTTTCTAGGTTAAACCTAGTTGTGTGTGTGTTTAGAATAAATAACTATGGTGGAAGGTCATGGCTGCGTAGATGTGCTAAACTAGCCGTATATCACTCTGCCACCTCCTCAAAGAACACGACACAATAATCAGACTTCTCTTACCCGTTTCAGGCCTCAGCTTGGGCCACTTTTTGGCATTCTGGGCACTTAGGCACTTTTTCTTTCTGGGAATGGCCCTTCTATCCATAAAAAATATTAAAAATACATTTTATGGCTGTCTTGGTATAACGACAAATAACCAGGCTAGATTGCAGTCATTTCTTTTTTTTCTGATTTTAAAAGAAATGAAAGATGTTTTGGGGCCCCTAAAAGTCACATGGGTCCCAGGCACAGTGTCTACCACATCTGATGGATGAATCTGTCCTACTCTTCTGTGTTGTTCCTAAAACAAACCATCTGGATCCACCACCAGCTCCACAAGGACATTTGGGGATGGAGAATATGACGTTTTATCCACCACGAGTCTGTTTCAAATCACAGGGTGGGGAAGGATTCTGACTTATCTTATAACCTTCTTGGTGACAGAACTTGTTGGCTGTGGTGAGGTCTATCCTAACTTTATGTCCTCCTTGGACCTGGGTTCAGGCCAGTCTTCCCTGTTACCAGTGATGGTGCACACAGCCAGCTGGCCCCATTTTTGGACAAAGGTTGCTCACAGGAGCTTTGTTGAGAAGAGAAGCTTATCTTTGGGGAATAGTACACACAGTTCCTGGTGGGGCTGAGTTGAAAACAGTAGGTAACAGTCGCACTGAATGATGTGAGGAGGGAGTTGTTCATAAAACGTACGCTGACAGCCCAGGAGAATTGGGACATCTAAAGGAGAACTTGACCTTGAATCTCCCCGGCAGTCTTCCTCGCCTTCTCTTCTAAGCATAATTGCCATGTGATTATGATAATGATTCACATCTCCACTACAATTTTACTCACAAATATTTTCTAACTTGATTTCAAAACCACCTGTATATTAGATATGGAAAATATTACTACATTACATTATTTATGATATGTTATGTTGTATCGTATTACATCTCATTATTTATGATATGTTATGTTGTATCGTATGTTGTATTGTAATACGATAGACCACTACTAATATAATGAGACACAGACTGTCAAAGTTTTTGTTTAAATAAGAAATCCAGTGGAGTGGTGGGTTCTACTTTTTACCCCTTCTGTTGGCTTAACAGAGAAAGCTCACCAGTGTTTCTAGAATATTCTAGAGCATAGAATATCAATATAAATATCATGGCCAGGGCAACTAATTACTAAATAAGCCAAGCATCAGAATTCCAGATTCTTTAGAGGTTAAAGATTACTTTTACTGGACATAGAAATAATCTACTTAGTTCTCTCCATTCTGTCACTGATTATAAGACTCCACGTTATAAAGCCTTGCACATAATAGGCATCAAGTGAATATTCTATACTTAAAAGTATGACTATGCTGGCAGCAAAGAAAAAAATGTCTTCAGTGCTAGAAAGAGTGCTCTGTAATCTCCAGTGTGTCGTGGACATTCGCCCACACTGAGGCGGCTTCCGCAGGAAGACTGGTCAGCATTCCACCAGGCCATGGCTGAGACGAGTCCTCAGGACAAGGGTCTTCTGGAGTTCTTGGGCCATGTATGGGCTGAAGGGACATGTGTAAGTTTGAGAACCCAGGGCCTCTGGCTTTACCTCTCTAGAGGTCTGATGCCACCACTCACTGGGGTTTTCTGGCCTCCTTGAGGCACTTCCATGAAGTAGGAGTTTCAGCCCAGATGTTCCAGACCCATAGATCCTTCTGTCCACCCAACCTGAAGGAAATATCCTTTTAGTTGCACAGAAGGTAGAATAAGCACTTCTCTCCCCCAAGCCCTACTCTCTTCCTTGGTCTCAGACTTTTGAAAACAAAAGCCAGGACATCTTATGGGTCACATCGGCTCTTGACTCTGAGTGTATCTTCCCCAGAGCAGGAGGCACAGGGCTCCACCTGCGAGAGGGAGAGACAAGGGTAACTTCAGGGAGGGAAATGCAATGAAGTTCACTGGCCTTAGGAAGCAGTATAGAGAGGCAGTCTCTTCCCCAGTGTATAGGCTTGGTGCCTTTGTCAAGGATCAGATGGCTGTAGGTGTGTGGGTTGATTTCTGGATTCTCTATTCTATTCCATTGATCAGTGTGTCTGTTTTTATGCGAGTACCATACTGTTTTGGTTATTCTAGCTTTGTAGTATAGTTTAAAGTCAGGTAGTGTTATGCCTCCAGATTTATTTTTTTTTTTTGCTCAGCATTCTTTGGCTATGCATGGTCTTTTGTTATTCCATATAAATGTCTGGATAGTTTTTTTTGCATTTCTGAGAAAAATGTC